CACTCGCAGGTGGCTGAAAAGTGCTTCTATCCGGAATTTCCCATCCTCTCTCTTTTTCAAACCGGACCTGATTGGCCACCTGTACCAAGTCTTTCAGGAGCGTCAGCCGCTCATCTGACATCTCGTCGTGGGAGTACTTGCAGAAATTTGACCCTTTCCGGCAACGTCCTCTGAGGTAATAATCGAAACAGCAATGGTGGAACCCTGCGTCCCCTAGTGCCTTCCTGGAAGCATTGTCCCAAGATTTGCCGGGCTCCCAAGTCCCTTCCAATGCTATGTCATCGTTGTGAAGATACCTGCATGTAGTCCTATATTTACAACCACCTTGATTGTAATACAGACACAGACGACCTTTTGGCTCACCCGACGTAGGTTCACCCTTTGATGCACCTTTGCCAAAATTGTACTTGGCCCGGAAGGCTAAATCCTCCCGCTCCTGCTGTGCCTCATCCACTGTACCTTCCTTGTGGGAGGGTCACCGATGTTCCCATCCTCATCATCAGCTTCTTGGCTGTTCTTTGGATCAGTTGACCCCCCTTCTGGCCAACCTTCACCATAACGACGATGCTCATAGGGACACCCATCGCCATTGCGACACCTTCCCTTATTGAAGAACTTGCACAGTTTGCTGTATCCAGGTGACACAGTCTGTGGAGTCATGTGAGCCTTTTTGTACTGGTCAGGGTCCATGTAGGCTTCCATTGGCTTGTTCTCCCTTTTGCTCATGGATTGCACTGCACCATCAAGCTCCTGCAAAAATAGCTTGGTGTCCAACCAAAGCGCGTTCCAAAACTCATCTTCCCCTTGATTCAGCACCGTTGCCACCGCTTCACCCACAACTGGTCGAGTAAATCTCCTTTTTCTGCATGCCAGTTCGAAAAGCGCGTTGTGGTACTGTTTTCGGGAAAAAGTGGTTAACTTTCCCAAGCCTGTGCTTTCTGTACCATCAGGCTTCCAACCATCATTTTGCAAGATGCCATACGCGCGCCGAGCTTCCGCATTGAGGAATGCATGATCTGCAACACACTCCTGTAAATCTTCCATCGGGCGACCCAACAGCATCCCAGTGATTTTGCCAACATAGGCCTCATCTTCGTTTCCATTCTCCAGAAGAGCTTTGTAGATCTTTTCTCCATAAAGTTGCCTTTCCTCTCGTTCTTCTGAGGATAACTCCTGTACCACAAGCCCTTCATCGGATTGCTCTTCCTCCTGTTTCCAGTCCCATTGACCGTTGGAATCTTGGTACCATTGACCAGCATACCATGAATCCGTCCACCACGTACTCCAGCCGCTGGGTTTCCATTTCCGCAGCGTCGAGGAAGAGTCCTCCACGTCCTCTTCCAAAACCAGAAAGGTGTCCAAGATTATGGTACCATCATCTTCCACTCGTTTCACTGTTCCATTGACAGTATCACCAAATCTGAACTGACACGTATTGTTCCCTTCTGCAGGAATCAATACATTCAAATCACCAAGGTCCAAAAAGGCTCCATACCCATTGATGCAGCGCACTAGACCCATGATCTCATCTCCCTCTTGATAGCAATGGTTCCCAGGTGATTCCAAGGCTCCCGCTCGGGGCACTTTCTTTGCATGCTCTTCAGAAACCACCTCTGTATCATCGGCTCCTGGCGCATCATTTGTCTTCACCTTTGGGTCACACTGCTCGTCCTGCTCCACGAGTCCCACAGGCTCATCTTTTTTGTGCTCCTGGATTTCAGGACCTCCCTTTTTCTCCGCCAAAGGCTTTGCCTCATCTGCTGCAGTTCGCTCGGTGTCGACTTCCGGCGAACTTCCAGACGGCAACACTTCTCCCTTCATGGGAGTGGACCCATCATTGGAGTCCTTTGTCACACCTTCTGCAGCAGGCAAATTTTCTTCCACTGCAGGGCGATTGAGTTGATCATCCACGGCAGGCACACTTTCTTCCACCGCAGGCTCCTTTGGTTCCATGGTTTCCAAAGGAGAATTGCCACCATCGTTGACCACAGCTGCCTCATCGGCTCCGGTGTAGCCCTTGCTATTCCGTTCCTCGCGGCTAACTTCAGGTTGCACCAGTGCGTCCACCTGTGAACCTCCATCATCAGCTGCTGCGGAGACCTGCGCCCCATTGTTGCAGTCGCCCGTGGAACGTAACACCATATGCACCTCAACCCGTGCTTCCTTCGCACTCCAGGTACTATCTGGCGCATCGACCCGCGCATCATTGGCGCTCCAGGCCTCATCTTTCAGATCTTCCGTGTCTCCAGCTATTCCAGAAGCTTCTTTTTCCCCTTGAATGGCAGGAATCTTGGCACCAAACGAAGAGACCTCCTCAGTCGCAACACACAACTTTTTCCCTCCGTCTTCCGAATCTCCAGGACCACCTTCCTGAACGACAGGTACCACATCCACCACTCGCTCTTCTGCAGCCGACACAGTTCCGATCTCCACATTGGGAATTTTTTCTTCTGGACCTACCGATTCCACCGCTGCCACACCCTCAGAAAGTGCTCCCATTCCTTCCCGATCCAGATGTTGAGCTCCAGCGATGTCTGCTCGGTTTCCAGGAATCTCCTCCTCATCAGGAGAACCCGAGGTCGGGGCGTCACCACCAGCCCTAGGACCGCTATCCCTGATAGTAGAGGAAAAATCTTTTTCACCTAAACTATTTACACTACCCTGGAATGCCCTCGTAGACTCAGTCTTCGGAGTAGAGGATGAAGAACCCAGTGCCGCCTCCATTTCCAGCTCATTGCCCGAAGGAGACCCAACCACCTCGTCACTCTTCATCTTTTCACCTACAACCGGCAATGTCCACTTGCTTTCCTGCGTATCCAGGCAGTAATAATATTGTCTCCCATCTTCATGGAGGTGCCATTCCCACATTGTGCCATCACACGCTCGGATCAGATGCTCATCTTTCCGAAAACCATCCCTTTCAGAGACCTGACGCATCTCGTCCTCTTCTTCTGACAACTGTCGCAACCTTTCAGCCTCCATCTGTAGGATCTCCTCCTCCCCCATGGCGTATTCAGCAGCAGGTGCAGCTTCAAAGCTGTCCGCACCCTTCTGTTCGTGACCGCTTCCACCACCTTGGGAACTCGAAGATGGATCCCTTTTGATCTTGTTCAGAGGCCTCCTGGCCGCTTGCAGCACTTCTCCAATCAGATCGGTCTGAGACCCTTGGTCTACCATTCGACCCGAAGTCGAAGTCGACGGCTGATACCCGTGTTTTTGCAACACTCGTAAAACAGTCACCTCCATTTCACGATCTATACCACCAGTCGCGTCCCAGTTCCTTTTTTCACCAGGCTTTGGCGATACAGAGACAGCACGTCCTTCAGCTTCAGTATTGCTAACCATATCCACATTGGGATTCATACCCACATTGGGGCTTTCCGCAACCAAGGCTTCTTCCAGATGTTCTTCAGCGCCGGGAATCACCTCTTCCAGCACCGATCTTTCACCCAGAGACTCAGCTGCACCATTTCCAGCTCCACCATTCTGTCCACCATCCGAGGCAGGTTGGAGCCATCGCTTAGGAGAAGGCATTGCTTCTTGATCCCAAAGATCTTAAGACAACACTCAACCGCAGGGAACCTAATTTGGGCTCATAACCTACGGGGGCAACCGAAGGGGAAAAGGGAAAGAAACCAACCCTTAACAATTGCCTATATGGATTTCCCAGATCGAACCAGTAAGAGAAGAATCCCACCCTAAAGGGAAAGGCTAAGGGAGAAGGGTCGGGACTACTACCTCCCACAAGACCCAACACCCAACACACGGACACAACCTTTTCAACGAAAAGCGGACGGCTCTGGGCCATCTTGAGCCAAATAAGATTTCCGGGTTCATTGACCCATCCAACCCTCAACACTAACTCCTTTCTACAATACCAATTGCAGCTCCGCACCCTAAACCCTAAACCCTAAACCCTAAACCATACCCTACAAGGGCTTAGGTTCCCCCTTATAAGGGCCGTTTATGCCAGAAGGGGGCATCCTTGCCATTCCTAGGGTACTCTGGGGGTCTAGCCTGAATCCTACCCGGAGGTTCAGGGTACTTATAACTCGTAAAAAAACGCACTTCTAAGCCCTGAAGTACCCTAATAGGGTTATAGAATTGGGTTATAAGCACAGTTATAACTTGGTTTCTAAGTACCCTGAACCTCCAAGTACATGGTCAGTTCTCTAAATGGTGGCCCCTTGTTGGGTACCCTAAATAAGAGGGAATCCGCCTAAAAATAAGAACCCCAGGAAGGACCTGAATTTAGAGAACTCCCTACAGAATTCCCATGAGTACCACAGGGTACCCAGTTTCCATAAACCCCTACTGAGAACGAAGAACTCAGCGCGGGTTAAGTTCTTCGCAAGCCGAAATCGTGGGCCCTTTTCAAACCCTTAAACCCTAAATCCCTAAACCCTAAACCCTAAAACCCTAAACCCTAAACCCTAAATCCTAAACCTTGAACCCTAAACCCTAAACGCTAAACCCGAAGCTCAGGGTCGATGTGATCCCTAGGGGTTTTAGAGGTTGGGGCTTAGGGTTCAACCCCAAACCCCAAACCCCAAGCCCCAAGCCCCAAACTCCAAACCCCAAACCCCAAACTCCAAACCCCAAACCCCAAGCCCCAAACCCCCAAACCCCAAACCCCAAACCCTAAACCCTAGTTTTGGGGTTGCCTTCAATCTTTGGCCATGTGTGGGGGATCTCTCGGCTCCCAGCCCCAACGCATTTAGGGTTTAGGGTGTACTGTTTTGGATCAGGGTTTAGGGTTTAGGGTTTAGTAGGCTGCGCAAGAACCCGTACTTGAAGGCTCATGGGTGGTTCTCAGTAAGGGTTGTAAGTACCCTAAGTAGGGTCTTCGGCGAAGACTAGAGTTACTCTACTTATAACCCCACTTATAACTACCCGCGAACCTTCAAGTAGCCCTAAACCCCCAAACCCTAAACCCTACTTATCACCCCACCTATAACCCCACCTATAACGACCTTCGAACCTTCAAAAGCATGGCCAAGATCTGCCTGTACTTCTCCGCCGGGCTTGGGGTGCGCGGGCATGTCTTCGCAGCAGCTCAAGCGCTTCTCAGGGTTGAGGGGGTTTTTGGTTTAGGGTTTAGGGTTCAGGGTCTAGGGTTAGGGTTGAGGGTTTCGGGTTTAGGGTTGAGGGCTGAGGGTTGAGGGTTTAGGGTTGAAGGGTTGAAGGGTTTAAGGGTTGAAGGGTTTAAGAGTTTAAGGCTTTAAGGGTTTAAGGGTTTGTGGGTGTAGGGCATAGGGCATATGTTTGGCTGATGTGCAACATGGCCCTGGATCGAAGGGTCTAGGCCGTTGAAAGGCTTAAAGAGGGTTGAGATTCCAAAGCCCAAGGCCCTAAATCCCCAGCCGTAACATCCTAGGAATTAAAGCCCAAGTCCCTAAACTCTGAACGGGAGGAGGGGTGGCAGAGTGAGCCCCATTAGCCTGAAGCGCTCTTTATAAGAGCCATTAAGCCACCCTTCCAAGATTTCGGGTGTTCTTTGGACCTTCGAAGATGTCGCTCTGTTGTTGTTTAGAGGTGTTTGCTCAGGTCCTTCCGCCCTGCTAACTACCCCCCCTCCTCCGGCTCCGAGTCGCCTTCTACTTGGTATGAAAAATGCAAACCTGCAATTCCAAACCTAAAATCAAGCGCAGATATACACCCACCCCCCCCACCCCCCATTTCTCCGGAAAACGGCAACACTGTGGCCCACCCAATCCCCCCTGTTCATGCATGTATTCTGTTTGGATTCTGTTTGGACATGGGTGGGTTTTAAGTACAGTTATAATGGGTTGATAAGTACTATGAACCTCCAAGTAAACCCTCGTTTCAAGGCTGGCCGTCCCCTTTGAGACCTGAAATATCGGGCATTGCAGGCATTTCAGCATGTGAAGGGCTGCTTGGTGGTCTTGATGAGTGCATCCCTTGGTTCCTCTCTTCAAGATGCTGACTTTCCAGAAAGGGTTGCAACTTCCTGTCCTGGCTTGCCCACCACGTCAGAACGCAGTGCCTGAGCGGACGAACACGAGAGACCCTGGCATCTATAAAAGCATTCGATGGCGCAGTGCAGCGCAAACAGTTCAAGCCCACCACAACACGGAGTACGATCAGTTCTGCACTTAGCGCGCAGCCTGCGCGCGGGACAAACGAGAGCCACGCCTGCGCGAGAACACAACTTTGAAAGCCAAGGCCCGAGCCACACAAAATAAAAGGGCGATAGCCGCTCCAAACACAAACCGCGGGTACCCTGTGAACTGCTCGGTTGCTCTCCGACCCAGAAGCCTAACCACGAAACCGGATCCTAAGCCTGGACCGTGAACCTTAAAAAACCCTAAACCCTAAACCCGAAACCCGAAACCTGCTACAGCCAGGCCTACATGACCTCACGGTTCCAGATCAACCGCCGCAAGACGCCGCTGAGGAACCGAGCAGAGCTGCTCGGCTAGTGCTGGGCGTTTCCTCAAAAACTGGAAGGGTTTAGGGTTTAGGGTTTCAGGGTTTAGGGTTTAGGGTTTAGGGTTTAGGGTTTAACCCCTAAACCCTAAACCCTAAGCGCTAAACCCTAAACCCTAAACTCTAAACCCTAAACCCTAAACCCTAAACCCTAAACCATAAAGGAAGGTTGATGGGCAGTTACAAGTGTGGGTGAGTCAGAGCCCAACGTGGCATCATGACGCAGTAGGTCTGGCGGTCTGGCGGTCTTCCTGCCTGTAGGCGTCGGGTCTAAAGTCTAAACCCCAAACCTGTAAGCGGCATTTAAACATATGGTGTTCTTAAGGGAGAGGGGGGGGGCAGGTACCTTTTGGGAACCTTGGGAAGCTCAGGGAGCCTTAGGGAGTAGTGGAGAGTAGTAGGGAGCCTTGGGTTCCCCCCTCCCTTAACAGAACTCGATAATCAACCTCACGAGCTCTGGACCCTGAAAAATCCCCGGAAGGCCGAAACACCCTAAACCTGAGGCCACACGTCATGAAGACCAAGTCTTCTCAAACCCTAAGCCCTAAGCCCTAAACCCTAAACCCTCAACCCTAAACCTTAAACCCCAAGCCCTAAACCCTAATACCCTAGACCCTAAACCCGAATACCCTAGACCCTAAAACTCTCAGCCCTAGAACCCGCATTGACCCGAAACCCTCGAAGCCCTCCAAACTTCCACCAACATCGCAAGCCCTAAGCCCTAAACCCTAAACCCTAGCCCTAAACCCTAAACCCTAAACCCTAAACCCTAAACCCTAAACCCTAAACCCTAAACCCTAAACCCTAAACCCTAAACCCTAAACCCTAAACCCTAAACCCTAGTACCCTAAACCCTAAACTCCTTAAAGCTCTAAGCCGCAGACTCCAAGCTCGTAGGACCCGAAGCCCCGAAGACTAGTATAGTAATGCGGGTTTAGGGTTTAGGGTTTTCGGGCTTCGGGTTTAGTTGAGGGTTAAGGGCCGGAAGAATCGCGAATAGTGTTACCTTATGGCCCCTATATAGTTACGCAGTTCTACTAGAAGAACCCCTCCCCCCCCCCCCCAAACAAAAATGGAGTAGTATGGGCCAAGGCTTTGGGGTTTTCGGGGTTTGGGGGGTTACCAGGGGGTTTAGGGTTTAGGGTTTAGGGTTTAGGGTTTTTAGCTTTAGGGTTGAGGGTTTGGTGTTTAGGGGCGGCTAGTGTTTACTGTAGGGCTCTAGGGTTTAAGGTTTCGGGTTTGGGGCTCTTAGGGTTTAGGGTTTAGGGCTTAGGGTTTAGGGTTTAGGGTTTAGGGTTTAGGGTTTAAGGTTTAGGGTTTAGGACTCTGGGCTTTAGGGTTCCTCGAGCTCTCCCAAACCCTAAGCCCTACACTCCACGTCCGCAGGCCCGGCACAGCCGCATGATCTGATAAGCCCCACGCCTTCCCAAAACCCTAAGCCTAAAGGGTTTGGGGGGTTTAGGGTTCAGGGTTTTGGGTTTTGGGGGTAAACCCCCCAAAAACCCAAAACCCTAGAAGTGCAGGTACGTCCGGCAGCTGCTCGGGATCGTTACAGAGCCGACGCCTCCACAGCACCTCGGCACCTCCTGCATGTCATCTCGTGTACAGTGAACTCCAGAAAGTTGGAACAGTTTAGGGTTTAGGGTTTAGGGTTTAGGGTTTAGGGTTTAGGGTTTAGGGTTTAGGGTTTAGGGTGGGTTTAAGGATGATGAGAGCTGAGCTTCCCTTTTGGTATACCTTCTGGGATACGGGGATAAGGATGTTCCAACTTTTTGGAGTTTCCTGTTTAGGGTTTAGGGTTTAGGGTTTTTAGGGCCTAGCTAGGGTTTACGATCCCAACCCTCGACATTCGTAAGATACAAGAAGTTATGAGTTATGACCCCTTCCCTCTGGGGCTTATGAACCCCTCGAGTGCGGTTTAGGGTTTAAGGTTTAGGGTTTTGGGTTTAGGGTGTTTAGGCTTAAGCCCTACATTCTGAACCCTCGAGGCTGAACCTGCGCCTGACGGGCGTCACCATCGACTGCGAGGAGGAATCGCGCCTTGGCCCAAAGTCGCCGAGGATCGAGGGCTTCAAATTGGGTTTAGGGTTTAGGGTTTAGGGTTTGGGGAGTTTGGGGTTTAGGGTTTAGGGTTTAGGGAGTTCAGGGTTTAGGGAGTTTAGGGTTTAGGGGGTTTAGGGTTTAGGGAGTTTAGGGTTTAGGGTTTTGGGGTTCGGGTTCTACAGAGGTTTCAGTTTAGGGTTTAGGGGTTGTAGGGGGTAGTTCGGGATCCAGAGGGGAAGGTCGACCCTGAGGCCTTGCAGCATCTGTGGGCATATGCGCGTCACCGTGCATCTGACCACTGCCCAACGGTCCAGAAGTTTAGGGTTTAGGGTTTAGGGTTTAGGGTTTAGGGCAACCCGTTCTGAGCTGGCAAAGCTTGTGTGGCTGAGCTACAACGCAGCCCACCAGATCCGCCTTGCGTTTCAAGACCCCGTGCACGCTGCCGCAGATTTCAACGACCAGTGGCAACAGTTGTTCGCTGTCCCTAAACCCTAAACCCTAAACCCTAAACCCTAAACCCTAAACCCTAAACCCTAAACCCCAAACCCTAAACCCTAGACCCTCCAACGAAATCCGAAGTAGATGGAAAAGCCGGCTGTTGGCCGCCCAGCGTGCAGTCCTTCAGAAGCACGGGTCTCAAGGGCTTCGGGGTTTAGGGGTTTGGGGGGGCTCTAGGGGTTTACGGTTTAGGGTTTAGGGTTCAGGGTTTAGGGTTCAGGGTTTCAGGGATTTAAGGGGTTTAGGGGTTTCGGGTTTCGGGGTTCAGGGGTTTCAGTTCAGAGTTTAAGCCAAGCCACGAGAGCGGAGTCACAGCGTGTCGTTTGGGGGGGGCCAAGGCCGGCGTGCGCGCACGCAACGTGTGTCAAGAGTGGCACAGGCGTGTACTTCCGGGTGGTGCAGCTTCCCCCTCCTCCCACCTTTGTGCATGCAAGGTGCGACCCCCCCCCAAAAAAAAAATGGACGCACCCACACACGCACACACAGACTGACAGACTGACAAACTGACAGACTGACAGACTGACAGACTGACAGACTGACAGACTGACAGACTGACAGACTGACAGACTGACGGACTGACAGACTGACAGACTGAGAGGCAGAGAGACAGAGAGACAGAGAGACAGAGAGACAGAGAGACAGAGACACAGAGACACAGAGACACAGAGACACAGAGACACAGAGACACAGAGACACAGAGACACAGAGACACAGAGACACAGAGACACAGAGACACAGAGACACAGAGACACAGAGACACAGATACACAGATACAGAGACCGAGACCGCACAGAGACACAGACAGAGACACAGATAGAGACAGAGACACAGACATACAGAAAGACAGAAAGACAGAAAGACAGAAAGACAGAAAGAAAGACAGAAAGGCAGAACGACAGGAAAGACAGGAAAGACAGAAAGACAGAAGGACAGAAGCACAGAAAGACAGAAAGACAGTAAGACAGACACAGACAGACAAACAGACAGACAGACAGACAGACAGACGCGCACACCCTAAACCCTAGACCCTAAACTTCACCCTAAACCCTAAAGAGTTGCGAGTAAGTGGAGCCCGAGTTCAGCCGCAACAGTCCCTGTAAAACCACTAGCCCTACACCCTAAACCCTAAACCCTAAACCCTAAACCCTAAACCCTAAACCCTAAACCCTAAACCCTAAACCCTAAACCCTAAACCCTAAACCCTAAACCCTAAACCCTAAACCCTAAACCTGTAAACAAATCAGCCCCCACATTCCCTCCCTGCTCTCAAAGCCCTACTCTTCAAACCCTAAACTGGGTTTAGGGTTTAGGGTTTAGGGTTTAGGGTTTCGGGTTTAGGGTTGATGGCTCAGGGTTTATGGCGGTCCCCTGGCTCAGGTACTTCCCCCCTCGCCGCAATCTGCCAGATCAGGGAAGGCGTGCCCCACTCCCCCCCCTTCAATGCTGAACCCGAATCCCCAAACCTTAAACCCTATCCACTAGAAGCCCAAACCCCAAACCCCAAACCCCAAACCCCAAACCCCAAACCCCAAACCCCAAACCCCAAACCCTAAACCTTACACGTCCCGGCTTCGGGGCTGCGTCTTCGGGTTCTTGAGGGGGTTAAGGTTTTGGTTTTTGTTCTTCAGTTCCTCGGGTTTTGGGGCTTCAAGCAGGATTAAGAGGTCCCAAATGGATGTAGGGTTTAGGGGTCCCAATCCCCTCAAAGTTTGCGTTGGGGATTTACGGTTCGGGGAGGTTACCTCTGAATAGCTCAAAAAGGTTATAGCCAGTCATACTTATAGATCCCTTTCTTTTAACGGCACGTAGAACTACCAACGAAGCCCCAATGCATCCATATGAAGCGCCTAAGCCCTAAACCCAAACCCTAGAACAATCGCCTCGCATGTTCGTCTAAACCCTAAACCCTAAACCCTAAACCCTAAACCCTAAACCCTAAACCCTAAACCCTAAACCCTAAACCCTAAACCCTAAACCCTAAGCCTAAACCCTTAATCCTAAACCCTAAACCCTAAACCCTAAGGCCTTGTTATTCACACCTGCAGGAAATACCGCGAAGTCGGCTTCTACAACATCAACTGGCAGGCTCTGGTGTTGAGATTGAGGGTTTAGGGTTTAGGGTTTGGGGTTTAGGGTTTAGGGTTTAGGGGCGTTGTTTGCGGGATCTTTTCGGATTGAGGGTTTAGGGAGCTCGACCACAAAGCATCACCCCAATGTCTCAAAATCCCAAACCTTGGGCCCAAATCCATCCCCCACTCTCTTTAGTTTTCAGGGCTTAACCTAAACTCCCAAGCTCCCTAAACCTTCAACCCAAAACTCCTTAAAACAAAAATCCGTCGACCCAAAAGCTCCCTAGACCCTAAACTCTCTAGTCTCCTTAAACTCGCTCAACCCTAAAACCTATGAGCCCCTAAACCCCAAACCCTGACCTCCTCAAACTAACTCAACCCAGCCGTAACTATAATCCTTAAAATCCCGACAATCCCTAAACACTAAACCCTCAACCCCAACCCCCCAACTCCCCACACACTCCCTAAACCCTAAACCCTAAACACCAAACCCCAAACCCCAAACCCCAAACCCCAAACCCTAATCCCTAAACCCTAAACCCCAAACCCCAAACCCGAAACCCTAAACCCTAAACCCTAAACCCAAAAGGCCCATGGGCTGCACGGCGCAGATCGGGCCTCCGTGGGCTCGCGGCTGTGCTGCTCCAAGCGCACCCCGGTGATGTTCAACGCGCGGCCGGCCCGGTTGTGGTTTGGGGTCTAGGGTTGGGGTGTAGGGTTTAGGGTTTAGTGTGTTTAGGGTTTACGGTTTAGGGTTTAGGGTTTAGGGTTTAGGGTTTAGGGTTTAGGGTGCTAAGGATTAAAAGGTTTAGGGGTTAGAACAATTCATAGGGGTTATAGGAATTATGGGAATTATAGGGATTACAGGATTTCAGGGGTTAGAGAGCTTAGGCTAGGTTTGCCTGCAAACCCTAAACCCCACACCATATGATCCCTCAGCCCTCTGCGCCTTACATCGCCGCAAAAGCCCTGTGAATCTTACAACCTCTCGAAGCTACATCAACTTTACACGCCCACTAAACTCCCGGACTTGAAACGATTGAGGCCCTAAACCCTAAACCCTAAACCCTAAACCCTAAACCCTAAACCCTAAACCCCAAACCCTAAACCCCAAACCCTAAACCCTAAAACCTAAGCCCTAAACCCTAAACCCGAAACATGAAGCTGCAGAATGGAGTCCTTGGTAGGGTTTTGGGGGCTTGTTAAGGTTTTAGGGCTGAGGAGTTTTGGAGTCTTGGAGTTTAGGGCTCAGGGCATAGGGGTTTACGGGTTTAGGGGCTTTGGGCTTAGGGGCTCAACCCTAAACCCTAAACCCTAAACCCTAAACCCTAAACCCTAAACCCTGAACCCTGAACCCTAAACCCTAAACGTTGAGGATTGAAACCCAGAAAGCACTTTGCCTCGCCCTAAACTGGGAGCTGGTCTTTTGAGATTTTGGGGCGGTTTTCTGGGTTGCAACAGCCTCGCCCTTCCTCCCTCGGCCTTCCTCTCCCCCAGGCTCGAAAGGCCCTAGCAAGCACCCCACTTAGGGTTTTAGGGTTTTAGGGTTTTAGGGTTTTAGGGTTTTAGGGATTTTAGGGTTTTAGGGTTTTAGGGTTTTAGGGTTTTGGGGTTTTGGGGTTTTAGGGTTTTAGGGCTTTAGGGCTTTAGGGCTTTATGGTTTTTGGGTTTTAGGGCTTTTGGGTTTTAGGGCTTTAGGGTGTAGGGTTTTGGGTTAGGGTTTAGGGGCCCTAAACCCTATACCGCAACCCTCTTGAACGTACACTCGGGGCCAGGACGGAAGGATCGACATGTTCCGGTGGAAGTTTGCGTCCTTCTTCAAGAACCCGGGCGTCCAAATCTCGGCTTGGGGGTGTGGATCATGGATCGTTCAGGGTTTAGGGTTTAGGGCGGTTCAGGGTGCTTAGGCATTAGGGCTGACTGGGTTGTAAGTAGGCCACTTAGGTTTATAGTTCATGTGTTCAGCCTTGGTTCGGGCTCCTTTCCCTAAACCCTAAACCCTAAACCCTAAACCCTAAACCCTAAACCCTAAACCCTAAACCCTAAACCCTAAACCCTAAACCCTAAACCCTAAACCCAAAACCCTAAACCATAACCCTAAACCCTAAACCCTAAACCCTAAACCCTAAACCCTAAACCCTAAACCCTTAAACCTTAACCCTAAAACCCTAAACCCTAAACCCTAAACCCTAAACCCTAAACCCTAAACCCTAAACCCTAAACCCTAAACCCTAAAACCCTAAACCCTAAACCCTAAACCCTAAACCCTAAACCCTAAACCCTAAACCCTAAACCCTAAACCCTAAACCCTAAACCCTAAACCCTACACCCTACACCCTACACCCTACACCCTACACCCTACACCCTACACCCTACACCCTACACCCTAAACCCTACACCCTAAACCCTAAACCCTAAACCCTAAAACCTAAACCTAAACCTAAACCCTACACCCTGAACCCTGAACCCTGAACCCTAAACGCTAAACCCTTGGAGATTCAGGCTCCTGAGGCCCTAAGCTTCTTTAAACCCCATCCTTCTAGGCAATGGCAAGTGGACCCCTAAGCCCTAAACCCTAAACCCCAAACCCCAAACCCCAAACCCTAAACCCTAAACCCTTAACCAACCCTTAACCCCAAACCCTAAACCCTAAACCCCAACCCCTAAACCCTAAACCCTAAACCCTAAACCCTCACCTTTAGCGCGCTGGAGCCCGTGTTGTTTTTTGAGATCAGTTCAGAGGCAAGCTGCCAGCCCCCCCAACACGGACTTCGCCAGACCGTGGTTTAGGGTTTAGGGTTTAGGGTTTAGCGTTTAGGGTTTAGGATTGGTGGACATCAGCCTGGTGAACACCCACTCGCCCTGTCGTGGGGGGAGGTCGGTTAAAATCGCGAATTCAGGGACTTCGAGGCCAGTTACAAGCCAGAACCCTGAACCCTAAACCTTAAACCTTAATCAAATACCATACTACCTTCTTGATTGTTCGGACGCATTCGCCCCTAATTAAGCCCGAGACATAATTTGTCCTCAACCCGCAGCTGCAAGTAAAGCTGGGGACGGAGGGACAGGGATTCAACCCCCCCCCCCTCTGCAAAAACACAACAGCAAAAATCTCTAGAACCCCGAGAGATGTGTGCCCTTGACAAAGACCCCCAAACCCTACCTAAACCCTAATCCCAAACCCCCCAAACCCTAAACCGTAAACCCTAAACCCTCTGAGACCACGATGATGACTGACAAGAAGGAGGACCGCCCCCTAGAATTACCGCTAGGGCGGCCAGGGTTTCAGGGTTGAAGAGCTTTCAGGTTTAGGGGGCTTCAGGACCATAAGCCCGAAACCCCTAAGAGGCTGAAGGGTAGGGTTTCGGGCTTAGGGTTTAGGGTTTAAGGTTTGGAGTTTAGGGCATAGGGCATAGGGCGGCTTAGGGCTTGGGGTGTGGGGGTTTAGGGTCTAGCATTTGGGGTTTAGGGTTTGGGGTTTAGGGTTTAGGGCTTGGGGTTTAGGCTTCCAGGAGTACGTGTTGATGGGGTGTGCAAGGCACTCCGGGGTGGCAGGGTTACGCGATTGCAGGGCTTGACCTCAGGGTTTAGGGTTTAGGGTTTAGGGTTAGGGTTTAGGGTTTAGGGTTTAGGGTTAGGGTTTAGGGTTTAGGGTTTGGGGTTTGGGGTTACGGGTTCTCCAACTTTTTTGGATACCAGAATTACGGATGACAAGGGTTCAGGATTTGCGCAGGGTTTAGGGTTTAGGCTTCGGTTGTAGGGTGAAGACCCGAACTAAGGCCCTACCTGGGACGATTTTGTCCGCTGGTTTTTGTTTTAAATTTGAGCAACAAGACGGCAGACAAAAACTTGGTGTGATTCGCGCGCCCTCCTTGCGCAAGAAGGGGGCGCGCTGCTAATTTATTGATTTCTCATGGCTTGAAACAATGTCAGATGCCTTGTGAAATTTCAAAAGGCCTGGGGCTTTCCACATTTTCAAGAGTTTTCAAATTTTAAAGATTTGAAGGGGCTAGCTTCCATAAAAAGCTGTTTATGGAAATATATGTTTATTTGCTTCTTTTGTTTTATCATCTTTGTCATCTTCGCCCCCTGTCCTTATCATCCTTATCACCTTTATCATCATCTTTATCATCTCTCCATTTCCGTATCATCTTCATCATCTTTATGACCGCCAAAATGTTGTTCCATCCTTCTTTTTTCTGCGCGCTTAACCCCCTCCCATTGGAGGGGGCCGCCCGAAGGTGTGCTCTCTCTCTCTCTCTCCCTCTCTCTCTCTCTCTCTCTCTCTGTGGGTGGTATGTCTCGTAGAACTGGAAGAGGAGAAGGAGGGTGAGAGGAGAGAAGAGGAAGAACTACAAAGAAAGATATTTGCAGTAGGAGAGAGGGAATGAAACAGGGCGAGGCATTGAGAGAAGCATAGACCGTGGGAGAAAGAGGGAGAGGGTTTCTTGCATTTCCCCTTCTCAAGTCCATATCAGTTTTCTTCCTTGCTAAGGAGAAAGATAAGAAGATAAGAGAGAAGAGCAGTTTACATGTCTTCCTGAACCTTAAACCCTAAACCCGCCGGAGCCTGGACGCTGAAACTATTCATCAGTCTCCTGCGGGCAAGAGAGAAATTCCTTCCTCGGCTTATTCTCTGATTCAAGGCGCGAAGGCTGTCCAAAGTTTCGAAGTTAGGCACGGCTCCTTAACACCAATTAGGATCGTATCGATGTAACATCCCCTTCCAGCGCTGATGTCCACCTTGGGGCAGACGCAACCCTAAACCCTAAACCCTAAATCCTAAACCCTAAACCCCTTTTGGACTAAAGTTTGCAAAAAGACAGGTGAAGGACAGGCCAAGAGCGTGGGCTTGGTGAGCACGGGCCTGGTTGGACGCCTTTCGCTCCTTTTCTCAGTAGCTAGAAAGATTCTTTGAGAGCTCGAGCGCGACCCTGGATTTTAAAATGTGCGCCGTGTCCAGACTCTAATGTCTTAATATGTCTTAGTTATGAAAATGTCCTAACACACTCCTGGGCCGTAGCCCTACAAACCCCTTAGGCCCTTGTAAGCCTCTAAACCCCCTAAAGCTAAACAACAAGGGGCCAGCCCCTGAACCCTAAAGTTTAGGGTTTAGGGTTTAGGGTTTAGGGTTTAGGGTTTAGGGTTTAGGGTTTAGGGTTTAGGGTTTAGGGTTTAGGGTTTAGGGTCGAACCCCGAAGCAACAACAGGACATGCTGCTAAACTTCAGCACCGAGAACCAGAAGGGAAGAGGCGTCTTCTTTCAGTGGGATGGTGAGCGGGGGCCCCAGGCTTGGTTTAGTGGGTTCAGGGTTTAGGGTTTAGGGTTTAGGGTTTAGGGTTTAGGGTTTAGGGTTTAGGGTTCAGGGTGTAGGGTGTGGGGGGGTGGGCGGGGTCAGTTTCGAGTTGTGTTTGGCGGGGTTCAAGGCTTCAAGGGAGCAAGAAGTGAGCGTTCAAACCCTGAACCCTGAACCATAATCAAGTGTTACACCCACCCTAAACCCTAAACCTTAAACCCTACGCCCTAAACCCTAAAACCTAAACCCTATACCCCTAAACCCTAAACCCTAAAACCCTAAGCCCTCGACTCTGAATCTTCATCCCTAACGAGCCTCTCGGGCTCTGCTGGGAGTTTTAAAAGGATCCGGCATTGAGGAGTTGAAGGCCTGTGTGATAACTGTAAGTCCGTCAAGGGTGCCTGATGCCCTGAACCTTAAGGCCTCAAACCTCAAACCTCAACCCTCAACCCTGAACCCTGAACTCGAAACCCTAATAGCCCTAAACCCTAAAACCCTAAAACCCTAAACCCTAAACCCTAAACCCTAAACCCTAAACCCTAAACCCCAAACCCTCAAGGGGCACCTCCTTCGAGCCCAAAGCCCCAGACTCAACCCAAAGCCCAGGGCGCGATACGCCTTCAGCCCGGATGGCGAGGATTTTCAAATCTACATCCGGAAGGCGGGCTTGAAGTTTAGGGTTTAGGGTTTAGGGTTTAGGGTTTAGGGTTTAGGGTTTAGGGAGACGCGTGCAGTCTAGCAGGAAGGGATTTTAGGGTTTAGGGTTTTAGGGTTTTAGGGTTTTAGGTTCTAGGGTTTTAGGGTTTTAGGGTTTTAGGGTTTTAGTGTTTTAGGGTTTTAGGGTTTTAGGGTTTTAGGGTTTTAGGGTTTTGGGGTTTTGGGGTTTTAGGGTTTTAGGGTTTTAGGGTTTTAGGGTCTAGGACTGAGGGTTTAGGGGTAGGACCGAGTGATAGCGCTGTAAGCAGGGTTGACTGGATCCCTAAATCCCAAACCCGCCCCCACCCACCCACTCCCCTTTTCCTAAACCCTAAACCCTAAAGCCTAAACCCTAAACTCTAGGGATGTTGAGGAGATTCTTCAAGCCGCAGGCGGCTTCAGGGCTGTTGGGGGCTGAGGGGTTCGGGATGAACACATGGGTGGTTGTCAAAATTACGGTCGCTTTTTGGATCCCTATTATGATGCGGTGCCTGATATTCAGGGTACCCCAAAACGGATCATAATTTTGACAGCCACCCACATCAAGGCTTTAGGAAGGCTTCAGTATGGCCTTAGTTCGGCTGTAGTGATGGGGCTTTGGGGGGGTTTTGGGGGTTTCAGGGGGCTTTCTCGGGTTTGGGGGCCTTACAATTAACCCCTCGAAGCTAGACCCTCGACCCCCAACGCAAACGTAAAACGCATGAAACCATGCGCCTTGTAAACCCGAACCCCTGGACTCGATACTCCTCCTTCGTACATTGTAAAGCCTATCTTCCCCCTGTGGAGGCCCTGAACCCTACACCATAAACCCTAAAACCCTCAGAGCCCTAAACCCGAAAACTGTAAAACCCTAAACTCGAAAACCCTAAAACCCAAACACCCCAAAAACAACCAAAAACAAATCTAAAAATACTTTTGCAAAAAGCCCTATAAAAGCCCTAAAACCCTAAAGCATCCCCTTAAAAAACCCCAAACGCCCTCTTAAACAATTCAAAAGCCCCCAAGGAAACCCCTAAAAGCCCTCTAAAAAGCCCTAAACCCTAAACCCGAAACCCGAAACCCGAAACCCGAAACCCGAAACCCAAACCCCACACCCTAAACCCTAAACCCTAAACCCTCAACCCTAAACCCTAAACCCTAAACGCTAAACCCTAAACCCTAAACCAACCCTAAGAGCCCTTAAAGCAATCCCAGGTGCTGAACATTCCCGTGGTCATTGGACCATGGGTCGACGAGAGCCGCCGTCTTACCATCGCACATTACTGCTTCAGTGGCCCAGGTCCTTAGGGTTTTAGAGTTTTAGGGTGTTAGAGTTTTAGAGTTTTAGGGTTTTAGCGTTTTAGGGTTTTAGAGTCTTAGGGTTTTAGGGTTTTAGGGTCTTAGGGTCTTAGGGTCCTAGGGTCTTAGGGTTTAGGGTTTAGGGTTTAGGTACTGGCCGTCAACCCTAAAGCCTAAGCCCTAAACCCTAAGCCCTAAACCCTAAGCCCTAAACCCTAAACCCTAAACCCTAGACCCTAGACCCTAGACCCTAAGAAATGAGCCCCCTTAGCTATCAAGCAAAAGTGGGTTTAGCGCTTAGGGTGCGGGACTAAGGACTCACTGGCAGTTTGAACAACGGTCGGCCTGCCGCGGGCCCCGGACGAAGCGGTTTTCAGTTTGGGTTTGAGGGTTTGGGCCTAAACGCCAAACCCCTACACCGCAAAACCCTAAACCCTGATGAGGGTTTAGGGTTTACGGTTTAGGGCTTATGGCTTACCCCAAACCCTAATTTTCAAAGTTTCAGCCCAAACCCCACACCTTAACATTACTATGCCCCTCCCCCCTGCCCCCCCGCCCAGTTCTAAGTCCGCTCGAACCCACCACTAAACCCTAGACCCTAGACCCTCAACCCTAAACCCTAGACCCGAAGCCCTAAAGCCAGTTCCGAACCTACGACGCAGAAAACAGAGCCGTGGTTCCTGGGGTTTGGGGTTGAGGGTTTACGTTGTGCGTTGTTGTAGGGATTGAGGGTTTAGGGTTTTGGGTATCATCAAGGTTGTTAGGCATTCAGGGTCTGAGGTTTAGGGTTTAAGTCTAGGGTCGACTTCAGGAGTTGCAGGGTAGCTGCACGTGGGGTTAGAAGTAGGGTAAGGTGACGTATAGTCGCTTCAAGGGTTAGAGGTGTACCCCTAACAGGTTTCCTTAATCTACTCCGAATGCCATAAAAGGGGCCATATTTCAGAGAAGTGTGAGTGGGTTCTAGAACCGCCTGAGATGGTGACGGGGATGTTCGGGAGAGACACGCGGCGTCTCAAGCATACGACGAGTGCCGGGAGAGAGAGCTTGAGTGTACTGCCCGAGCTCTCAAGTTGCCGGGGATGGAGGTCATAACGACAACGAATTGAATAATCCCGAGGACAGAATGAGGAAAGCGGCTCGTAAGACTGCTGATGAGCAAGATGGGAATGGTAAGACTGCTGATGAGCAAGATGGGAATGGTCGAGCCCTTACCTCCGCACGAGACCACCATTACCCCTATGCAAGGAAAGAGGAAGAGGCTTGGCAAAGAAGTCGGAGAGAGATTATTAATGTAGGCATATCCTATAGCCCTTATACCCTAAGCGTAGAGGATCCTCAAAAAGGGTCCCCAAACCCAAGAGTACAACCTCAGGGGTCTAAGGTTGAGTCCCTTTATTATAACCTTTTCGGGGGGGGGGGGGGGGGGGGGTACTGACAGCCCTGCGTATAACTACCCTTACCCTAAGCCCTAAGCCCGAAGCCCTCAACCCCGACCTTAAACCTTAAACCCTAGACTCTAGACCCTAAACCCTAAACCGTAAGTAGGGTTGGGGGTTTGAATGGCTTGCGAGTTTTCAAAGGCTTTGGGTTTGGGGGTTTGAGATTTAGTGAAAGAAGTGGGGTCAATGGTTTCACGTTTTAGTTTGTTCAGGTTTGGGGGGCTTGCGCGTTTTGAGGTTTTAGGTTTAGGGTGGGGTGGGGGGTGGCGTTCTGTTCTTGGGGTTTAGGGCTTCGGATTTAGGAATTTAGGAGTTAAGCCACCTGCATCCCCCCTCCCCCCTAAACTCTCACTCAGAAGAACCCATACCTGTGCAGCTGCCTAAACCCCAAACCCCAAACCCTAAACCCCAAACCCCAAACCCCAAACCCTAATGGGGCTCTGCAACCGCAAGTTGAGGGTTCAGGGTCAAGGGCCCAGGTTTCTCTGAAGGTTTCGGCCTTAGGGTTTAGAGAGGGCGTGGGGCTTTGGGCCCTAAGCCCAAACCCTTTGAAACCCCAAACCCCAAACCCCAACGCCCCGGCAACCCCGAAACCCGGTCATCTGGGTCCGGGGGGCCAAACCCTACTGCGCGGGCGGGCTAGGCGGGGGGCCGGCGAACCCCAAACCCGAAGCGGCGCGCAAAGGCCCCAAACCCCCAACCCTAAACCTAACCCCCCAACCCCACACCCCCAAACCCAAACCCAAACCCTAACCCCCAACCCTAAACCCCAAAACCCCAAACCCTTCACCCCACCCCAAACCCCAACCTAACCCCAACCCACAAAACCCAAGCCCTAAAACCCAAACCCTGAACCCTAAACCCTAGACCTCAAATCCCAAAACCCCAAACCCCAAACCCTAAACCCTAAACCCCAAACCCCAAACCCCAAACCCCAAACCCCAAACCCTAAACCCCAAACCCTAAACCCTAAACCCCAAACCCTAAACCCCAAACCCCAAACCCCAAACCCTGAACCCCAAGCTCTAAATGCATCCTGGACCCTCAGCGGTGGGGTCTACCGAAGGCTGTTAGCCCGAGGATGAGAGCTTCGGGTTGAGGCTTCTCTTGTCAATATCCTAAACCCTTAAATCCCCTAACCCCCCTAAACCCCCTAAACTAAACCCCCTGAACCCCCTGAACTCCCCTGAAGCCCCCTGAACCCCCTGAACCCCCCGGACCCCCCTAAACCCTAAACCCTAAACCCTAAACCCTAAACCCTAAACCCTAAACCCTAAACCCTAAACCCTAAACCCTAAACCCTAAACCCTAAACCCTAAACCCTAAACCCTGAGATGAACCCAGGGTTTAGGGATGCTTTGAGCTTCTGAGGTGGAGTTCGGATTCTTCGGCAACGACCTGGAAGGCAAGCAGGCGGTCCGAAGGTGCCAGCAGGGTTTAGGGTTTAGGGTTTGGGTTTAGGGTTTAGGGTTTAGGGGTTTTGGGTTTAGGGTTTAGGGGGTTCGGGTTTAGGGTTTAGGGTTTAGGGTTTAGGGTTTAGGGTTTAGGGTTTGGGGTTTCGGGTTTAGGGTTTAGGGTTTAGGGTACCCTGAAGTCCAAACAGCCCCTAACCCCTAAATTCGACCCTGCAGCCTTATCCCGAAAACAGCCAAAAGGCCCCACCCCCCCGAAGCCCCCAAAACCCGAACCGCCAAAACCCACAAGCCTTCAAAACCCCCCCAAAACCTAGTCAGAAGATATGGGTGCGTTCTCTCCAAATCATTTGGGGTCCTTCTTCTAAGGGTGCCGTACTATATAGGACCCCAAGTGGGAAGTACCCATTCCTGAGCCCTAAACCCTAAACCCCAAACCCTCAACCCTAAACCCTAAACAAAAGCGCAAGAGGCGTGTCCTGCAACTCGTCAGTGGCGGGCTGGATTCCGAGCTGATCGCATCTGTGGAGGCACCGAGGAGGTTTTTTGGGGTCGAGGGACTTCAAGTTTGGGCTTCAGGGTTTAGGGTCTAGGGTTTAGGGTTTGGGGTTTAGGGTTTGGGGTTTAGGGTTTGGGGTTTGGGGTTTCGGGGTTTAGGGGTTTAGGGTTTAGGGTTTAGGGTTCAGGGTACAAGGGTTTTGGGTGCCAGGGTTTTAAGGATCTAGGGGCCCCATAGAGGGGCCCCAGAGGCCTTCGGGGTCCAGAACTTTGGGGGGGTTTTGGGGCCGTTGAGAGGTTTAGGGTTTGGGGTTTAGGGTTTGGGGTTTGGGGTTGGGGGTTTAGGGGTTTAGGGGTTTAGGGGTTTAGGGGTTTAGGGGTTTAGGTGTTTAGTTGTGTTTTTGGGTTCAGGGCTTAGGGCTTGTCTGTTTAAGGTTCAAGGCCCTAAGCCCCCTGCAAACCCTAAGCCCTACACCCTACACACTACACCCTAAAGCCTAAACCCTCAACCCTCAACCCTCAACCCTAAACCCTAAAGCTTGACCTTCCTCAGGTCTAGGGACGTAAGCCCGAAACCCTGACCTTCCTCAAGTCTAGGGACGTACGGCTTGACGACCTAGACTTTAAACGAGGTGTTTAAGGGGCTTTGAGTTTGAGATGTTTCGGAGTCTAAGGTTTTGTGGCTTAAGGGTTTAGAGTTGGCATGCCTTTGAAATCCCTATTAAGGACTGTTAGTAAAAGGGGGAACATCCCAAGGTTAGAGTTTAAGGTTTGGGGTTTCGGTTTAGGGTTTTTGTTTCAAGGGTCACGGGTGCAGGGTTTGGGGTTTAGGGTTGAGGCGGAGAATCAAAAAGAGGAAACAACTTCGGTTCAACTGTATCCCTAAGCCAAACCCCACAAACCCTAAACCAGCATCGAGCCCCAGTCCCAAAAAAGACTTTGGTTGCTGAGTTTCGTGTTTACGGTTCTTGCTTGGGTGGGGTGCGGGGGGGTCTTTTTCTAAACCCCCGAACCCCTCAACCCCTCAAGCCTAAACTCCCCCAAACCCAAACCCCTCAAGCCCCTCATTCGCTAACTGTCGGTCTTAAACTTAAGAAACCCTAAATCCCTATCTCCTAAGCACCTACCCCCTAAGCACCAACGCTCCAAACCTCAGGCTCCCCCGCCCCTCCCCCCCAAAAAAAAAGAATAAGAAAAACACGAGAGACCTCGAAACAATTCTGAAAATCCTCAACAATCCTTTGACCCCGGAGACCCCGAGTTCTCTCTCCCCAAAAAAGAATTGTTAAAAAATCAAGGCAAACAAATAACAACACGCACACGCACGAAAACCCTGAAGCCCTCAAGCCCTCCATGGCTTTAGGGTTTATGTAGGGTTTAGGGGGCCCTGAACCCTAAACCCTAAACCCTAAACCCTAAACCCTAAACCCTAAACCCTAAACCCTAAACCCTAAACCCTAAACCCTAAACCCTAAACCCTAAACCCTAAACCCTAAACCCTAAACCCTAAACCCTAAACCCTAAACCCTAAACCCTAAACCCTAAACCCTAAACCCTAAACCCTAAACCCTAAACCCTAAACCCTAAACCCTAAACCCTAAACCCTAAACCCTAAACCCTAAACCCTAAACCCTACCCTAAACCCTACACGGTTTCTGGAGCCCTGTGATCCTAATCAGCGACTGAACCCCAAACACACCCACCAGCCTCAAAGAACCTGGGCCACGAACAAATGCACACGTGGTGCCGGACTACAACAGAAAGCTCGCAAGCTCGCGCAACCCTAAAATCCTAAACCCTAAGCCCTAACCCGTAAGCCTAGACCCCTTGAACCTCCAAAAACACCTAGACCCCATCACGCCCCAACCCTTGAATCCGCAAAAGCCTATCAGGTTTTCTACTAGTTGCTTAAGAACCCTGCAAAATAAAAAAGTGATATTCCCTTTATTACCCTTACAAGGAAGAATATTTTGTTTTTTTTGGGGTTCTTAAGCAATTGGTAGGTTGAGGGTTTAAGCTTTAGTGTTGGGAGCACGTGAGAAGCCGTGAGGCGAGATGTGGAAAGCCGGTCAAAATCAAGCGGTTTAGGGTTTAGAGTTTAGGGTTTAGGGTTTAGGGTTTGGTTCATGTCCATGTCGGACTGGGCCACTGACGTACTTGGAGGTTCATGGGTAGTTATGAGTGGGGTGAAAAGTAGGGTAACTATACTTGTAACCTTATTTAGGGTACTTATAACCCTACTTATAACTACCCTTGAACCTCCAAGTAGCCTCAACAATTTCCAGCTTTGATCGACGTGAAGAAGGAGTGTGAAATGTGGATGTGAAAGAGGAGATCAAGACCCATGATGTGAAGCGGGAGCCAAAGGAAGAGACCAGCACCGAGCGAGCCGTAGGGCAGGGCTGGGCTGACTCCGCACTCGAGCACCAGTGCCAAAGGTTTAGGGTTTAGGGTTTAGGGTTTAGGGTTTAGGGTTTAGGGTTTAGCATCAAAGGGCCCTTACATAACCATGGTATACACCTTATACAGACCGCACACACCTAAGTAGCCCAAAGAAAGCTCTCTGTAATCGCCCTGGGCACACGATTTATAATTCAGGGACGTTGAACCCAAGCAACCCTAGTTCTAATTCCCCCTCCCCCGACCCTAAACCCTAAACCCTAAACCCCAAAATCCTAAACCCTAAAACCCTAACCCTTAACCCTAAAACCCTCAAACCCTAACCCCAAATCCTAACCCTAAACCCTTATACTCATCTTGAAGCAGGAAATTTTGGGTGCCGGCTTGACCATGGCCGGGCCATCTTGAAAAGGCGCCGCAGCTGGCCGTCAAAGGGGGGGGCTTTAGGGTTTAGAGGATTAGGGTTTAGGGTTTAGGGCTTAGGGCTTAGGGTTTAGGGTCTAGGATTTAGGTTTTTGGGTTTCCTGTAATAGGGCGTAGATGCTGTGAAGGTTAGATGCAGCAGAGGCTCGAAAAGCTCTGGCCCGACTGCGGAGGCCATCTAATACTTCTCTCCCACCCCACGCCGTCCGAGGCGGCAAAGCCACCCAAACCTATTCCTTTTAGGGTTTAGGCCTAAACTCATGACAATCGCTTACTTCCAAAAGCCCTTTCCGCCACCAAGTCGCGTCTCCGTCGTCCCAGGATGGGTCCTTAGGGAGGTCCCTGGGTCGCAGGGGTTCAGAGTCCCAGGACGGTTTCGAGCGGTCCAGCCCTTCAAGCAGGCTTTCGGTCTCACAAATTCCGAGGGGTCCCAGGTTCGGGACCCCCCCTGGGCTGGGGCCCTCAGGAGAACGTGCTCCGGTACCGGGCCCATCGTGGGTGCATACCGACCTCCGAACTGTGCGAGGCGGGCGAAGGCCTAGGTCGGCTTGTGCCATCGAGGTCGAGGGGCTTAGGCGCCGCCCCCCAACGTTGGGGGGCGGCCTAGGCCTTGAGTTTAGGGTTCATAGGGTTTCGGGTTTAGCGTTCATAGGGTTTAGGGTTCAGGGTTTCGGGTTTTTTGGAAAGTTGCGTAGTGCCTTTGGGGATTTGTTTAATTTTTTCGGGCTTAGGCTTAGTTTAGGGTTTAATAAGGTTTTAAGGTTTTAGGGTTTTAAGGTTTTAAGGTTATAGGGTTTTAGGGTTTTAGGGTCTTTTGGGTTTTGGGGTTTAGGGTTGAGGGTCGAGGACTGGGGGTTGAAGGCTTAGGGTTTAGGGTTTTGAGGGCTAAGAGGAGTTTGTAGGGCTTCCAGTTGATGGGTAAACCCTAAACCCTAAACCCTAAACCCTAAACCTTAACCATAACTCTTACATAAGTTTGAGAACCCTACGTGTAGTCGAACTTGGGCTACGCAGGAACCTCGCACGTACGCGCTTGGGACCTGCAGTTCAGACCATCTTGGCAGTCTTACTTTGGAGGTTCATGGGTAGTTATAAGTAGGGTCATAAGTAGGGTAGCTATACCTATAACTTTATTTAGGGCACTTATAACCCTCCTGACCCTCCTGTTAATTACCTATGAACCTGCAAGAATGATTCAAGCATGTAGGGTTTAGGGTTAGGGGTTCGGGAAACCTCATAAAATCGATTGCGCCCTGAACCCTAAGCACTACACCCGAAGGCCTGGACCCTCTGAAATCTCAACCCTGAACGCTAAGACTCCGACTCCCCAAACCAAAATCCTCAACCCCAAATCCTCGAACCTTAAAAACCCTTTAAACCCTATAAACCCGACAACCCTATAAACCCTATTACCCCCCCCCCCCCCCCCCCCCCCCCGCCCTCCCATGTAAACCCCATAAACCCCATAAACCCTATGAAGCCCGAAGAAGAAGAACCCTGAGAAGCCCTGAGAAGCCCCGAGAAGCCCCCAAGAAGCCCTGTGAAGCCCTCAGAAGCCCTAAACTCTAAACCCTGAACCCTGAAGCCCTAAGAAGCCCTCAGAAGCCCTAAACCCTAAACCCGAAACCCTTAACCCTAAACCCTAAATCCTAAACCCGAAAACCCTAAGAAGCCCTTTGCAGGCGCTTCCGGTGCTTTCCAAACGGAAAGTGTTGCGTCCGCTTTTGGCTGGTGGCCGAGCCGATTCCCACAGGCCGGGCTCCAGGCTACTTTAGGACGTACCTGGGGTTGAGGGTTTAGGGTTTAGGGTCTAGGGTCTAGGGTTTAGGGTTTATAGGGCTTGGGCAGAAGGGTTTTGGGTCTAGGGGTTTAGGAGATTAAGGATTCAGGGTGTAAGGGCTCTAGGAGTTGTTGGGGCTTTGGGTTCACGGCGCGGGGAACCCCTAAACCCTAAACCCTAAGCCCGAAATTCTAAACCCTCTCTGCCATATATATATATATATATATATACATTTTTTCATTTATTTAAACCATATATGTTTAAACCTTAATTGAATTTCAGAATAAGGCCGCTCTATTTGCAGAATACGGCCGCTTTATTTTCAGAATGAGGCAGCTTTATTTTCACAATAAGGCAAAATTCAGGCCAAAGGCTATTTGACTTTCAGAATAAGGCCGCTGTATTTTCAGAATAAGGTCGCTTTATTTTTAGAATAAGGCCGCTGTATTTTCACAACAAGGCCGCTTTATTTAGAGAATAAGGCTGCTCTATTTTCAGAATAAGGCCGCTTTACTTTCAGAATAAGGCCGCTTTATTTTCAGAACAAGGCCGCTCTATTTTCAGAATTTGGCAGTTTTTTGCTTTCTCAATGTTGTGGGATTCTCTGGGTGGGTGGGTGGTACATCAGAGCCGTAAATAAACTTAACCATAAAACTGCTCGATCTGGAGTGCTGAACCCTGAACCCTAAACCCTAAACCCTAAACCCCAAACCCCAAACCCCAAACCCCAAACCCCAAACCCCAAGCCCCAAGCCCTAAACCCTAAACCCCAAACCCCAAACCCTAAACCCTTAACCCTTAACCCTGAACCCTAACCATAAACATCCCCGTTCACTGTCCCAAAATTAAACGGGGCGGCTGATGGCTGGATCACAAGTAAAAACTCTACGATCCGGAACTTATCATATTAGAACCCAAGCTTTTCAAGGGGCCAGTTCTTTGGGGTGTAGGGTTTTGGTGTGTTTAGGGCACCCTTTTTGCACCTTTTTTGGGGTTCTGGGTTCCCTGCTCCAAGTACCCAACCCGAGAAAGTTATCCTTGTTTTAACAAGGTGGTTATGGGGGCCAAACACGAGAAGGGTTTGGGGTTTGCGGTCGACTCAACAAATCTGCAAGCTCAGGCTGCTTTCGGGGTTTCAAAGTCCCAAACTTGAAACACCCTAAGCACCCTGACGCCCTAAGCACCCTCTACAAACCTTCAAGCACCATAAACACCATAAACACCCTAAACCCTGAAACCATAAACCCTAAACCCTAAACCCTAAACCCTAAACCCTAAACCCTAAACCCTAAACCCTAAACCCTAAACCCTAAACCCTAAACAAGCCGTAAGCACCCTAAGCGCCTCCTCAGGGGACCGATCACCGGCAAGCGGGCCCACACCGAAACCGAGCGCGCGATTTTTCGGGCGTCTTGCGGAGCTCCCTGAAGCTTGAGGGCTTCAGAACCCTAAACCCTAAACCCTGAACCCTAAACCCTAAACCCTAAACCCTAAACCCTGAACCCTAAACCCTAAACCCTAAACCCTAAACCCTAAACCCTAAACCCTAAACCCTAAACCCTTGAGGGCTTCAGAAGTTTAGGAGCTTGAGGTTTGGGAGTTTAGGTTTTTAGGGTTTAGGAGTTTAGGGTGTAGGAGAGTAAGGTTGAGGGCTTCAGAAGTTTATTTGAAGAGCCTAGGGTTTGGGGGTTCAAGGGGTTCAACAGTACTTACAATCTTATTCCCGTATATGACCCCTGTAAAACCCCTATCTACACCTTCTATCGTCGTCCCTGTATAGGGTTTGGGTTCAAAAGTGTGGGGTTTGGGGTTCAGGTGAGGGTTTATCAGGGTTCAGGAGTACGATTCCCCCAGCCCCCCCCCCCCCCGCACGAGGTCCCCTTAGGATTCGCGAAGCCATACGAGGGATTGGGCGTTTGGGCATCTAGGGTTTAAGGTTAAAGGGGGTTCGGGGTTTAGGGTTTGTGGCTTGGGGCTTAAATCTGCAGTAGTGTTGGTTTCAGGGTTGTTTAAGAAACTAGGATGCCCAGTAGTACCCTTATTCCCTTTTTGGGGGGTTTAGGTTCCCTTATAAACCCCTTTAAGCAAAAAAGGGCACCCTTTTTAAGCCTAGGTTACTGGGCAGCCTAGGAAAGGATGCCTCAAGGATGATCTCCTGCAATATGCCTGGGCGTTTCACATTACGGACAGGCGCGGAGCTTGCCTTCCAGAGAGCCTCGAAGCCCAGACCGCCATGTTTCAAGGGCAGCTTGCGAGGTACCTTCTACCCTAAACCCTAAAGCCCTATCCAAACCCTAAACCACAAACCCTAAACCCTTAACCCCTAACCCTAAAACCTAAAGCCTACCTCCTGAGCTTGGGTCGCGGCAAAGAAGCCAGAAAATCAGCTCTCAAATTCTAAGCCCGAACCGGAATGCTAAACCAAAAGCTTAGGGTTTAGGGGTTGGGGTTTGGGGTTTAGGGTTTAGGTTTTCGGGTCTAGGGTTTAGGGTTTCGGGATTCGGGTTTCGGTTTTCGGGTTTCGGGTTTAGTACTAAATCCGAAAAAACACCAACCTCTTGACCCTGAACCCTAAGCCCCGAACCCTAACCCCCAAGCCCTAAGCCCTAAGCCCTAAGCCCTAAACCCTAAACCCTAAACCTTTTAAACCCTACAAGGCTCGAAGAGCAAACTCCTGCGCAGGTAGCAGGGTGAGCTTAGGGCAGGCAGCCGAGCAGCCCGAGTTCGGCTCCGCACGGTGCGAGCTACTTCCGAAAGTTTGGGAGTTCAGGGTTTAGGGTTTAGGGCTAGGGGTTCAGGGTACGTATACTTACTGGCTCAAAACCCAACTTTTCAACTTTTGGGCTTCTTGTAAGGTAGTTTATTCTGAAAGTTTCAACTTTTATTTCCTTGGGTTTTGGGCAGTAAGTATAAGTAGGGTAGTACATAGCCCTACTGCTTGTAAGCACCCCTGAACCTTACTACTTGTAAGTACCCATGAACCTTCAAGTAGGCCTAAGCCCGAAACCCGAAACCCCAAACCCCCCGAAAAACCCATCAGCCCTGAACTGGGGGTCTGCGAAATTCGACTTAGAGGGAATCCTACTATTGTGGGGTCTTTGTGAAGGGCCCCTTATTTTCGTAAACCCTGGCGCTTAGTGTTTTTAGGTCTTTGGGGTGTTTTGGATTTGGGTTTTTTTTCAGGGTCTATGTACGCCCCCTAAAC